AGGGTATTACTGTCATCAGTCTCTTGCATACATACGGTACTTCTGTTAATGCAGTCCACAATCACATTTGCACCACTTCGCTGAGTCATGTGGATTTGGTGACCCATCATAACCCTCAGATCTTCTATGCAGTGCTCTTGCATAACAAAGTATCTCCTATTATGTACTTGGGCCTTTTTTCCCTAGGCAGGAGCAGATCCAGAAGGGGGTAGTGGTACAGTTGTATCCCACTTCCAGACTAGTCTGCAGAAGTAACAGCTAGGAATTTTTTTAAGTTCCTGAATCCCACCACCCACCTACTCCTCCGTGCTCAGCAGCACATCCCCTCCCCTCTTCTCCCCTTCCCTTTTATTTGCTCCCTACCCTGCCCACCACTGTTGCTGTGCACATTACCTCTGGCTGCTCCGGGGTGGAGGGAGCTATTGAGCCACTTCTACCCCACTCCAGCTAGACTGCACAGGAAGTTCAGCCAGGAACAATGGAAGTACCAAAGTGCAGGTTAATTCCTCCTCCCTTCCTGATCCACCTACCACTTCTGCTGTTTCCAGCTGAACCTGGCTCCCTGTGCAGTCCAGCTGGATCAAGGGAGGAGCTGTTCTGGGGCTTCCCCCATCCCGGTGGCAGTTAGGGAGAGTAGAAATGGGTGGAGGTGGGAGCAAATGGGAGGGGAGGAGAAGGGAGGTGCCATTGGCACAAAGGGGAAGGGATAGGGTGCTGAGAGCCAGTGGGGCAGGTTCTTACTTGATTTGGGGATTTAGAAAAAGTCCCTGGCTTCTGCTTCCATGGCTTAATCTGAGGGCCACCCCGCCCTGGAAGGAGTCCAGCGCAGCCCTGCAGTTCTCTTGAGGGACATGGGCCCCCAGATCTGTGTGTGGGGTTGGGGCCAGCGCCAGTGCCAGCACCCAACTCTGCTTGGTGCACCCCATGCCGAGTATCAGGAAGATTGGTTTTGCCACTGGCCCCAGCTGGCAGTGGCAGCATGCTGTCATCCGTCATGCAGCTCTGGGGCCTGTAACCCTCTGGGAAGGGTGTGGGGATGTACCATACTCTTCCCAGGGGCACGGGTCCCTGGATCTATGTGCAGGATGACAGGAGGCTGACACTGGGTTCTTTCTGGCGCTTGATGCGGGGTGCACTGAGCAGACTCAGGTGCTGGCGCCGGCTCCAGACAGCAGTGGCAGCATGCTGTCATCCTGCACACAGATCCAGGGGCCCATGCCCTGCAGGAGGAGTCTGGCACAGCCCCACAGTCCTCCCGGGGGGTGCGGGCCCCTGAATCTGTGTGGGATGACAGCAGGCTGCCAGCAAGTGATACGAGTTTTGCTTTGAACGGTTTTAGCTGCAGGTTCACAAAAAACCCTCCACGTATCTCCTTGAAACTTGAACAAGAGTCAAGCAGATAAATTCTCTGTAGAGTCCATGTGCACTAAGTATGCTTCAGCCCACCACTGTTGGAGTTGGCAAATATTCTTCTGCAAGGGATAGCACAGAGACCATCTTCCCTGTGTTTTTAGGGTGTGGGCACAGGAAGGCTTGGAGCCCTTTTAAAAGGCTGGTACATTCTTTTTTTTTTTATATGTGAACAAGCTGAAAATGATTCAAATGCAGCAAAACATCTCTAACTTTAACCCTGGATGAAAGGGTATTAAAGTTTTCTGCTGCCCTTTTGAAATGTTCCCCTTTTAAAAGGGCTCCAAGCTTTTGTGCATATACCAGGGGTGGGCAATTATTTGGGCCCATGGGTCACAAAGGAAAATTTGGGGAGCTGTTATAGGTTGGGTCAGCACCGCTGCTTCTACCTCTCTGGCACAACAGCTCACCAAACCTCCCTACATGGCAGGGAGCTGGCGTGGGTGTGGGTAGGCTGGCATGGGTGCCGGGGTTGCCTTGTGGCTCCTCTCTGCCACCCCACTGGGCATAGGGACCCACGGCATCCTGGAGGTGGTGGTGGGGAGAAGCTCAGGGCAGCCTTGATGTGGGCTGTGGGTTCTGCTTATCTGCCACTGTTGCTCATCATGGCCAGAGTGGGTGGGTCTGGAGAAGGCACTGCAGGGACCCCAAACCCCTGAAATGGGGCAGGCTGGGGCCAGGTCTTTGCACTCAGCTTGGGGCTCAGGCCCTGCTCACGCCGGTTCCCACGGGCCCAGGGCTGGTGGCACTGGCAGCTGGAAGGAAAGAGCTGCTGTTGCCACTGCCTCTATGCCTGGGCCCCTGCCACCACCAGTGTCACCTCCGGGCCACCCTTCTACCCTGAGGAGGGGCTGGGGCTGATGCCTGGCTTCAGAGACTAGTGCAGGAAACCAGTGGAGACCCATGGAGACCACTGTGGGAAGTACCCAAACCCTGGAATGAATGCATGGCCCTGGCCCCAGCCCCGGCTCACCCCACCTCACAAACCAGACTTCCCAGGTGGCAGAGGGCAGATTGAAGCAAGAAACTTGTGGGAGAGGCTGTGATTAAATAAAGTTCCTAGAGTGGGGAGAATGGGACTTGCTGTGCAAAAAGACTGGGACTGCTGGTATGGATGTGTGGAAAATGAAGGAGGGGAGAGACTGAAATCTGGTGAGAAGCCAGAGAGAAAAACAGGAGTGGACAAGTAGGGGGACTGTTATGCAGAACAATTGGGAATCGGAGATGGGATCATATGAGAAACCCAGTCTGTATACTGGACCTGAATAAGCTCAAGGACTGTACTGAATGTAGGACAGTCAGGCTGGGAACCGGGCATGGACTAAAGAGACAATAAGTCTGTGGTCACCAGAGATCATGTTCAACTGGAACACGACAGTCTCACCATTCCTTTCCTCCCAACAAATACCTGTGAATCCCATTTGCAATCACCCCAGTTAATCTGTTTTCATGGCAGATGATCACAAAGAAATATGTACAACAAGAGCTGGTAAGGAATTTTCAACTGAAATGATTCATTGATAGAAATGCAATTTGTACAAAATCAAGTTTTCTTCAGGAACATTTCCATTTTGCTAAATGTATTAAATTTTCCACAGGAAATAGCAAAACAAAATATTTTGATGCAGGTCCAAACAGCCCAGCATTGTTCCACTTAATTTGAATATGCAGTGGCTGATGTCACCATTTGCCCCGTGTGAGCCAGGCTTTTTAGTTGTATGATGTTGTCTATGATGTAACAAAGGTGAGATGAAATCCAATCAGGGAGCCTAGCCTACAGAAATAATAGGGGCATCAGGAACCTGAGCTATAGCTCCTACTTCCCATACTGTGAAAAGCTACTGTGTTTTGGGGAAACCTATCTGTTGTTCCAGTCTTCTAATTTCAAAGCATCTGTTGCCTGATTATTTAACATAAAATAAATACCAAAGCTGAAGGAATTTTCTGTTTAAATTGCCTTCATGTTCCTTTCTCCTTAAATGAAGTATTAATTCCAGTACAAAGAAGAAAGCCCAGTTCTGATGGAACTAAGGTAACACTTTGCTTTCAGACTTCCACTCCTAAGGTATCTGTATACATCACTAGCTCCTGAAACATTATCTTCTGATTTATTATGCTTCAGTTACTGTACTTCACGTAGCCCAGCTTGAATAAAAGTATCCACATAAAAACCCCCCAACAACACGAGCTATACAGGATGACTGGTTTAGGAAAAGTACTAGATTATCAATTGATGCACTGTGCTCATTCAAAGTTGTAGCCCATAGCTATATCCCCAGCACATTCATATCTTGAATATTAGCAGCACTGAAGCTTTGATTCATACCCTATCATGGGCCTGCTAGTTTGAATTTAAAGTACTAATTAACTCAAGATAGAGACTGTGTGTGGATAGGAGTTGGGTTAAAAGCAAACTTGGGTTACACATCAAACTAATAGTGCAGCAAAAACAAGCCATAAGAGGAGTTGGCATCAGAAAATGTCATTAAAATTGCAATCCTCTTGCTATAGACATAAACTAAACAAGGTAAAGATCATTTTGATCCATCCTGAAAGAAAAGCCATTAGTCTCTTAATTTTTTTAAAATAAATTATTTACTATGAAACAATTTTGTTATGATTCCTTTCAGAGATGCCTTTAGGAACTAAGCACATTAACACGGTAAGAGATATATTGTGAGAGTCTCACAGTGAGTGCATCTACATGAGACATTTACTGCACAGTTGACTGATTAGCTGTGCAGTAAACATCTGTGTCTACGTGTGTGGCCCTATTAGGTCACAGTAAACTAATAAACACCATTGTAAATTAGTATTTGTAAATACGAGCACTATCTTGCGGTGGCATCATTTACCACACAGCACATGTAGACTCTGCCCCACATGGCTGGGGCATGAGGGTGCTTCAGTGTGGGGACTGCCTGCCACCTAGCCCTGCAGTGAAGCATCCTTGTGCCCCAGCCAGCCTCTCCACAGCACACTGAGCTGCATTGGAGCAGCCCTGGGCTGGCAGGCTGACCCCCAAGACCCCTTGCCAGCCAGGGCTGCTCTGACCCAGCTCAACATGTTGCAGTCCTGGACGAATGTGTAAATATGGTGCCCAGGAGCGATAAACTCCGGCATGATGTGTACCAGAGTTTATTGCTTTGCATTAATTGCATTTTGGATGCACCCAGCAAGTATCACCTCACTTTGCAAATGGTCTCCCTGAGCTACCACTTCTTGTAAGAAAAATTGTCACAATCTGAAAAACAATTTTCAAGTTCTCACAATCCAGAACACATTTTTTTAAAAGTTGGTCATCTTGATGCATTTTTAAATCCTCATAGCTCTCTCTTATTTTACATAATTCACAAGTTTAGTAACCTGATTACTCAACTATCATCCTTCAGAATGAACAAGATTGTCAGGATAGCTTTCAGAGATTGTTAATTATTTTTCTTAATTAGTCAGAGCAGTTACTGTTGAATAAAGTTAACTCCTTTTTCCCCTTTGCCAACTTCTGTTAGACTTAAATGTGAGAAACTTCACATCTCCCACACAGCTTTTCTAAATAAAGTGACAGTCTTATTCCTAGTTAAGATACTTACCGTCCAATGCATCTTCATAGCAAATACCTTCATATTAAAACTGACGTGAGGTAGAAATGAACTATCAAAGGTGGACCATAATCTGAATTTCCTCAAAGTTCTTGGGTTTTGTTGCAGGCCCAAATCTGAAACTGCTATAGAAATGTTTTGTTTCTGTATGAATAAAGCTACATTGTGCTTGAAGCACAACCTGAAAAAGTTAGGTAACAGTTAAAGCTTACAAGAAGAGGTTGTTTAATCAGAATCATCCTCCTGAGTGATTCCAGCTGCACACATGGATTCAGGAACTGTATTCCTGAAAGGGCTCGGTGAATTTTTCCCCTTTGTGTCCAACAAGCACCTTTAGATAGCCTGGGATGAAACTAGGCATATGACTCCACCTTACTATATTCAGGTAATTGGCACCCAGATGGTGAAAGAAGGAAATAGGCATGGCACAATATAATGGATAGTCATCTATAACCTAAGGCTCTTCATGTTTTTTAAACACATCCTGGTTAGATACTGGTACATAATGGACTGAAGGTAAGAAAGAAAAAATGGAAGACATACACATATTTGCTATACTAGTCTTACACATAACCTCAGACTTCAAAAGGGGAACCTTGCTTATTTAATGTTGCAAAAATACCTGTAGTTTTTATTTTTATTTTCACTAGAATCTTTTTGCTGTAAGGACTGTAAAAATATACAAGTGTACAATATTTTCCACTTGTTGATAGGGAATCTAATTAGAAATTAGCACTGTATTGACATCATCGTGTCAGATGACTACAAAAATATATAGTAAATGGAGGCCTAAGATATTTATTTTATTTTATGTTTTCCTACGTGTTTTCTTGGGGGTGGGAAATACAATGATCTTGATGAAGAGACATCTAATAATCCCAAACCTGACAGATAGATTAAAACAACATTTTCAGTTTTTTGTCCTGACTTGTGTAGGACCAGGGCACACAACAAATTTATGGCAATGTAGTTTACAGTAGTTTTGTATGTCAGTGTAAACTGCACCAGGATCCTAAATGGATGAATAAGAAGCTCTGGAGAAGTGTCTACTTAAGGCAAAAAGCAAAACAAGAGAGGAAAGTGAAATTTTAAAAAGCACAGGCTGCAGAATCTCTTCAATGTAGAAAATATCTATTCTTTATTCCAGAATGAGGGAGCAGAATGTGATCGGCAATTTCATGAAATAAAGGGACTTTACAAAATATATGATTTTTGTTTCAATACCAAAGTTTAAAGGAAAAAGGGCAAAAAGGTGTTCAACTACTAGGGAAATGGAAATCCATATGAAATAGATCAGAAAGGAACTGAAATTATTCTTCCAAAATCTGATCTGAAACCTCAAACGCAGCTGGGGAAAAAAGTTTTGCAGTTAGTCTTGGATAGAACCACTTCATGTGGGCATTAGTGACTTAGAATAATATTTTAAAGCTTCCTGTATATAAACCTTTGTGAAATAACTTTAGAAAAGCTAGTGAAAAGTAAACAAAGCTAACAGGGCATTAGGTGATAGATGTATTTGCATAGAGTTTCAAAACTCTATAAAAAAGGATCAAAGCTACTGTGTAAGCTCAAGGAACACACATAGTATAATTTAATAATATTTTGAACACTATGGATCTTCCTTAGACTTCTGTACATAGATGGTGTCCCACTTTTGGCTTCCTTTATTCAAACTTCAAGCCAGGTAAGTCCCAATTCAGCAAAGAAAATGGCAAGATGTCATTTTCTGTTAGTTGCTGGCAGATGGTTTGTGAAATACAACTGAATGATCTGATTTATTTAACAGATATTTCTAACATTTTGTATCATTTGCATTATTCAGGCATCAAAATTATATGGGAGAATGAATTCTGCACTTTGTTGCTGTGAATATGAACAAACAATGGAAATGCCAAAATGATGAATGTCCCACAATTCTTTTTACATACTTTAATTTGTAGAAAGCTACAGAAGCACAAAAGAAATGCCCAGAGAATTAGCTTAAAGGAGAATTGAGCAGGTGATTCAAACATCTCTAAAATGTTTAGGTACCTGGAGATTGTCTGCATATTTGTAATTTTTTTTCCAACTAGCACTGCCCATGCTTTGCAAAATGTGGGACTGTGCGTGTCTGGGGGAAATCATGTATATGTGACATTTGTCTCTTTTTTAATATTAAAACGTTAGCCTCTCTAGCTAAGAACAGATGTGCAAAAAGCCTCAGGTAGAAGAGATCACACTTTACGCTAAATGCCCTAGATTAGGTCAGGAGTGAACAAAACTCACATTTGCCCTTTGGTTGAGGGGAGAGGCATGCAGGCTGTATGTACAGACCAAGGCTAGCAGGTTGGGGGCACTGTTGCATGCCTCCCAGAGCTGACTGGCTGGGCCGTTCCTGATTGGCTGCCAGGCATGGATGAGCCCCCAACCCCTCTTGTCATGGACTGACCCCCACACTGAGCCCTAGGCTTCCAGAAGAGCTCCAGAGAGGGTTACCATGGCATACCTGGTAGCTGGGCCAGTGGCAGCAGGGTGGGAAGCACTCTGCAGAAGCAAGGATCGGGCCCCTCTGACATCTTATATAAATCATGTTACATTGTCATGAAAGGTTGTTGCTTTCCCTGCTGTACAGGTTGCAGGGGGAGCCCCAGAGCTGCTCCTATCCCACGCTGCAGGGAGCAGCTATGCAGAGAGCCTGGCTCCACAGTGGGAGATTCCTTGTTCCCTGCCTCCTCCCCTCACCCATCTCTCCTTCTGGCAGGGAGCCAGCATGAAGGAGGAATCTGTGTGCAGCAGACAGGCTTTGCAGTACAGGGCAGGAGAGGCCTGGGAGCTTCTCTGTACCTACTACAGCTGAGTCAGATAGCTCCAGATAGAAGGTGTGAGGAGCTACTTCGCAGGCAGCCCACATTGCTGCTGGCTGGAGACTGCAGCAGCAATGTGCAGATTCCTCCTTCCCTGCCCGCCTCCTGGAAGAATGCTTGGCGAGCTCTGAGTGGCCCTACCCCTCCTTCTGCAGAGTGCTTCCCTCCCTCCCCTGCCTAGGGACATTGTATAAAGATTGAAAAATACTGAGCTACAGATGGCTCCCTTTCTCCCATCCCCTCTCCCCTGGTGGGGTTGTCATGACTCCGTGACAGCCTTGGGGTAAGTGAGCAGCTGAGCATAAGCCCAGTTCCAGTGCACAGCCCTGCTATTTGGGGTTAATTGGAGTGAGGCAGGGGTGGGGGGTCAAAACAGCCTGGGATGCCTAACTTGAGTCAGTAGGGGATCTGGTACAGAAATCTGATAGATCGGTCTAACCTAAATCACTTAAGTCAGATACCACATCAATCCTGGTCTATCTTAGACCAGGTTCCATCATTGTTAAACCAGTCTATGTGCACTAAACTTCTGTTTATAAGTGTAGACTAGTTTCTGATCACTTATACCAGTTTATGTCTGTACCCGGCCTCTGGGTTTAAGTGGCACTAGTAATAAATATGTTCGAATTGATGACCGCTTTTCAGTGGGTAAAGTATATTGAAAGAGGAGGGGGAGCTCTCACCAATGTAGACCAGGGAAGAAGGAGGCATAGGATAACACTGCTTACTGAGACCAAGGAAGGAGAGGAGAAAGAGGTGGTCTCCTATGCTTTTATCAGAGAAAGTGGGCTAATTCTTTGCTTGTTCTATTTAGCCAGAACCCTCCAAAATTCAGGTCTTCCAATAGACTTGAATGTGGTCAAAATGTTATTTTCAGTGGGCACGTCTACATGAGATGTTTACTGTGGAGCAAACATCCTGGTGTCTACATGTGCCCCCTCTATTAGGCTGGTTAAACTAATTTACTTTGCAGCATGGTAAATACAAGTACTGTCCTGCTATGGAGTAAAAAACTCCACAGCAGTGCATGTGTAGACACTGCCCCAGCTGGCTGGGGTGTGACAATGCTTCACTGCAAGGGCTGCCTGACAGCTAGCCCTGCAATGAAGCTCCCTGGTGCCTCAGACAGACCCTTTGCAGTACATTGAGCCAGGGGGAGCAGCCCCAGATTGGCATGCTGACTCCCCAGATTCCCTACCAGCTGAGGCTGCTCTGACCTGGCTCAATGTGCTCCACTCCCGAGTGCACATTCAAACAGCAATAAACTGTAGAGTTTATTACCCCAGAATTTATTGCTCCCAGGCACAAGTTCAAACAGCTTACATGGGAGCAATGAACTCTGGAGCTTAATGCTTTGCATTTATTGCATGTGTGCACCCAGTGTGTCGGCCTTATTTTAACATGCACTCTTCAGTTGAAGTACTACAGCTTAGGTTTTTCCCTACTACTCATACTGAGTAACATGTTCCCATTGAGTTTGAAAGAGGGGAAAAAAGCTAGTTCTTAGCAAACAGGCTTGGCTTTTTTTTTTGTTTTTTATTTTTAATTAAGAAATACGAATGCTCTTGTAGGGATTTCTAATAAAAAATAATAAAAACTTATTTGGTGTTACCTTCTATTTAATTTTACAGGATTAAAAAAAGTAGATTTTCTTCTGAATAGGAAATTATGTAGGGCCTTTTTTAATAATGCCTATGTTGGTATGCATTTACCCATATGAACACTTTTGCTGAAGTGAATGGGAATACAGTACTTGAATGAAAAGTGTTAACCAACATGAATAAGAGTTAGCAGTCTTAGACTTAGACACAACAGAGTGATTTGAAGCTGGTATGTAAGCTTGATTTTGATTTTTTTGGAGAAATGCCAGCCTTTAATTACTTTTTCTGTATTTAATTCTTCAGGGATTTCCATGATTGTAAAGCAGAAATGTAAAAGAAGGCCAATACAGGTTTGATAACAAAAAAATTATTTTGGCTTGACTTTAAACAGAACCAAATCAATTATTTAAAACAATTGCAATATTTTCAAAAATTAAAAAATTGCTTCCTAGCAAGAATTAGATTACTAATTGTCAGCTCACAGCAAATGTAAAATATTGTTGTACCATATTGTTGGCTTCTACAATATGGTACAACAATCAGAAATGACATTTTCTAATAACAGTAGGCATTCATGTTTAGCTTTTAAAAATAATAAGATTTGTGCCTGTTGAACATCTTTATGAAACTTTGAGAAACAGATATGAAAATATGTCAGAATAATGGCAAAGAAAGCAG